CGCCGAAGAAAATTCGCTCTGAGAAAATGCCTCAGAAATGGAGAGAATTGTGCGAAAAAGGTGCTGCTGACGAGCTGACGAAAAAACGTCCGATTTCGACGCATTTTTTTGCCGAGTGAACACGCATGGTTTGTCGAGATTCGCGCCAAATAATGAGAGGGTCGGTTGCATATGGTTATCGCCATTGAAAACTAATTGCAGTATTCTTACATAGTGCAAATCCTAGTTTTTTTGAAGTATATCCGAGTTAATTTAGAAGGTTTTGCTGGTTAACGAAGGAACGTGGAAAAAGTTAAGAGTTTGTTTTAGCGCTCAAATCTATGAGGCTGCAGCCCTCCCAACGTGCTTCTTTGTACGGGTTCGTATTTCTTTCGCCGCTCCGTGGAAGCCATTGCGAGTCAATGACAGAATTGGCCTTTTGTACGCATGTCAATGTTCGACGATGACGGTGTTGGGAGGCGCTGCTAATCGCGCTAAACAAGGGGAACATTGTGGGGAAGAAAACCTGAATTGGTGGAATTTTTGGTTCCTGGCTCATCTTAAGTGCAAACAGTCGCTAATGAGTGTTATAGATAAACATATCCGCATTTAAAAATGCATTTCATCAAGCACTGCTAAATCAATTTTTATATTTTTTACACATTAACAAAGTATTTTACAGGAAACGTATTATCAAAGTATTTTACAAGAAAACGTAAGTTACTATTTCAATAGGATTCAACGAGAAATCCAAAATATTTGTGGTAATTATGCGCACAATTTACAAAACAATTAGCTTTAAAGGACTCTCCTCTGTTCTCTTAATGTTCTCTAACCAGCTAATGTCCATAAAGAGCTCAAATCTGCGTCACTTCAGGAAAACACCTCTGAGCATAACAGTGACGCTTTGATGAAGTCGTAAAATTGTGCCCAGCTGCCATATGTGGTGTTGTAAAGCGGCAGCTGCTGGCCGCCAAACACAGGAGTGAACGTTCCATAGCTCGAGTTGTACTTTTATGGAAAAGCAGGCAAACTTTGGGGTTGTTGGAATCACTTAAAACGAATGCAAATTAACAAAATAACTACAGAAGAGTCGGTAGAAAAATGAAATTTCTAAACACTAAGTAAATCAAGGCAGATTTATATTAGAAGTGGTTGATGATGACAATATTCCGCTTCTCTAGGTTCACACCGGAATATTCCACATGTAAAGCATCTCTTTGTTTTTTTTACTGCCAAATATAGCATTTTTGTGCTCTTAGCAAATACGAATTTGTAATTATTACCTTAACT